CGATTGTTTTAGATAATCAGTCTTTAGGGATGATTGTTGAAAAGAAAATTCCCTAATGGACAAGGTATGTTTGTATGTCACTGTCTGTTGTGGTTCATTGTGCTTACCAGTGAAATCCATCCAAGCAATGATTTATTTTCAAGTGTTATCTGAAAACAACTGCCAAACACACAGTAATTGGAGGTGGCTATTGAGGCAGTCAGTTATGTTATTTGAAAGGGAACACTTCAAGAATAAAGATATATTAGGGTAAAGTACAAACACAAGGAATTGGGATTAGAGTAGCAATGGACTGAATGAGCATCTCCTGTCCTGAAATTCATATGATTCAATAATTATATTGATATTTTAAGGGAACAAATTATAAAATAATTTGAAGCAAACAGGAGGAAGATACTCCTGAATTAATGAAAACTGGCACAAAAGTTTATTTTCTCTGGTTTCAACAAAGGCTTTGGTGATGAGTCTTAATCTCACTACTAGTTTGACTTAGATTCAACAGTTGGAAGATAAGGTTTAATTTTACACAAGCACTGAGACAACAGTACAATCACAGAAATTGCTGTAATTATTTTTTTCTCTGAAAACCAATTCAAGAATGTATAGTCAGCAGACAGAAGGAATTACATCGAATTACATATGCTGCAGCGCAGAATCAGGTGATTTTACTCCACTAGTCAATACTGGTGCTTATAGTTTACATGAGCCTTCACCTCTAATTCCCTTTCGTATACCCCTCTATTCCCTTTTCCCTCATGTGTGCACCATATTGTATGTTGAAGTTTGCAACAGTGGAATTGCAGAATTCCACGGGTAGTTGAGCATGATTGACAAGATAAATGTATGAGCAATACAAATATCAAAAGCATTATGCTAGACTAAGTTAAAGCTATTTTACACAGAATACCTTAAAGATTAAATAAATTTTAGCCAGTTTTTGGAAGAAATACTTTTTTTTAAATGTATTAGAGAAGGAATGTGTCCTTAATAATGGAAGGTATTGCACTGTAATTTTACAGTTAAAGTGGAGACCATACATTTTATTGAAAGAGAATTGGATGCTTGAAGAAGAAGAATATTGAAATGTATGAAGAGTGAGTTTGGGTTAGATGATTCATTGGGGAAAAAAACATCAGTTCAGATTTGGCAGGCTGAATTCAGTGATTGTTATAAAAGGTTCACTGGATGGAGACATGGAATGTAACTTTTGTCACAGTTTGGCTACAAAGTCATTGATGAAAGAACCCTTGAAAGAATTCCAGTTAACAAAATAAACTTAAAATAAAAATATTCTGTTGGACTTGGTATACGTTTTTAACTTGTAGTTTCCGAAATCTATTTTCTTTCTTCAGTTTTTGTGATTAAAACATTTTGATGAGATCACAGAAGAGGAAAATGACCAAGAAAAAATCCTAAATTTGCGCACGTTGAAATGCGATCCAAGATTATATCAATCCAAATTCAAATTCAACAAATGCAGTTCCTAGAATTATTTTGTAATGTTGTCTTGCATGATTATGGCCTCAAGTTGAATAACCTGGAATTTAAGTAATAGTTTATTCCATGTATTAGTTAGTTACATAATGTACCACAGTTAATTCAGGTATTACATAGAGCAAATCTTTACCTTACTTAATTATTTGTTTGTTTTCTCTCCCACAGACCTTTAAGTTCTCAAACAATGATCTTAAATAGATGTTTTGTTGGAAAGGGTCTCGCCCCAATTCAGCTGAACCTCGGTACTTAGGAACATTAAAAATCTTGGATATTATGTCTCCAGGAAATGCGACTTCTAACCTTGAAAATGCAGACACAATCAGAGCATCCATTTATCAGGTGACCAACATTACAAAATTGGACATAAAATTGTGAGAAATAGATTTAGTTATTAAGTGCTTTAGCTATTTGTAAAATAGGTAAACTGATATATGAGAGTACAAAAGTGAATTATAGATGTCAGTTCTGACAGGATAAACTTTCAGGAACATTAAGGAGGTTTGTTGTTTAAAATGATGGGAATACAATTCCATGCATGCAATTTTCAGTGACAGTTGACTATCTTGTATACAAAATAACCAATATTCCTCTCAGTTTGAATGTAAGCATCTGTTATTAACTTTAAATATCTGTACTTTTTTCTACTTTTGCAAGCTTTTTCATTTGAAGTAGTATTAGTTCATACATATTAACCAACTTGGTGTGGATATTTAACCACAATTATTTTTGAAATACTTTAAGAGAGTTATAAAATAAATTGAAAGAAAAAATGTACAAAAATGTAGCAGGAGAGGTTAAAAAAATCTAAATTTATAAATATTGAAAGCTTTTTAGTCTCAACTACTACTCCTTTTCCCTGATGGAGATTGCAAGAATTCAGACAGCATAAATCACATTGAAGGCATAGACAGCACTGTGTACACACTTAGGGTACTTTCCATGATCTCTACTCAATTCCTACTCAATATTCACACCACTAACAGTTCGATGACTTAAATGTATGTGTTATAAAGCATGGCCTTTGTGTAGGACCTGCAATTCCAAGTAAGTAATTTGGCTGTGTTCATCTTTGTCTCACAGGAGTGGCTGCAAAAGAAAACACAGCAACTTTATGAAGCGCACAAAAATAAGAGACTCAACGAACAGCAAGAAAAGGAGAAGAAACAAAAGGTTCCCCTTTTATCTTCAGGTTTTGCTGATTTGACCTCACAAAATAGGCAACTTCAATCACTTTAACTTCTCGGTCTGTAAACACTATGAGGGTAGTAAGCAACCATTCCTCGGATTCAAAATGCGACAAACATGCCTGTTGTAAACATTTTATACATAACACATAACAATCATAATTTCAGATCAATTCAGTAGACAACTGCACATTGTATGTTAACAATTATGGTTAGATTTTCCAATTTTTAAATATTTTCAGTCCAGTTGTATTAAATACTCTTCTATTGAATTTGTAAAAGTTGTTACATTAAAGGAAGCTACAATGTCAATGCTAGTATTGGCTTTGGTCTGTGCTAATCCCTGATCTGTAGGGATCAAATTTGATTTTATCCAGGGCAGTGGTGGGGAGCAAGCAATACAATTAGTCTCCAAGTGCCCATATGGGATGCTGGATTAGCATATGATCAGGAATACACAAGGTAGCCCTTGACTGAATAGGTCATGGTAAAGATTCTTACTTGAGAGGCAGTTCCTATTGTGTAATCGAAGGAGCTGTTGCTTATGAACCAAAGGATCGTTGGTTCGAATCCCAATCTGGGTTTGCTGATCTCTACAGGGGCGGTATGGGAAGGTGAAATTGGCTCCAGCCTTCCCAGAGTGAGAGAAGGGAAAGACAGCCAGGGTTTGCTCCTGATTCCCCTTCAGGGCTGGTTGTGTTCTTAGGTGGCTGCCAGATCAGGAGAGGTTAAACTCAGTCCTCTACAATCAAGTGGCCTGTCGACACTCACTGCCAAGGCTCACACAATAAAAATGTTAGCAGAGAGCAATCAGTACCTGAGGTACCATAGTCCAGCAAGTAGATGCCAGACCAGGAGCAGAAAGGCAGTGGAGATAAAATTATGAAAATTAATTGTACACAGTAAATTTAAAAATAAAGACACATGAAAAATAGTCAATGCCTTTGAAGGATGCTACCACCTATGGAAGTAATCCCAGCCCTGACATTGGAGCTTTCTTTAATGTAACAACTTTTAAAAATCCAAAATGTATGTTTTTAATACAACTGTGTTGAAAGTTCCTTTTAAAATATTTAGAAATTAGAAAACCTAACCATAAATAGCCCATGTGCTTTTAGCAGAGGAGGGTAAGGGAAGAGCACTGAAAATTTATAACAGTGAAGCAGATACAAAGAAAATCATTCAACTTATTACATACATAAATAATTGAATTGATGGTATGTAGGTGTATACAGTAAACACTAGGAATATTTAATTTTTAATTACTCTTTACAAAATTACTAATGGTGATTCAGAGCAAACCCTATCTAAAAACAAACAGCATGAAAATTAATCTTATTCTATATTCATAATTGTTGTATGCCTTTTTTGATGCTGTTGATAACTGAAGTATGAAATTAAATTTGCCGATTGCTTTAAAGGAGAAGATTGAAGGCAAAGAAGAAGCCAAGGCTTCCTTTGATGCCTGGATGGTGAAAAAGGAAAACGTGCTCAAAGAAACCTGCAAAAAAAAGAAAGAGGAAGTGCAGAAAAAAATTAAAGAAGCAGCAGAAAAGGAAGAGAGAAGAGAAATAGCAAAGAAGGCAGTGCGAAATCTTATTTAATTTCATTAATTCATTATTAAGTCTGTTTTATTTAATCGAAGAACAGTAACATTACTTTGCATACTGTTGAAGATTGTACCTAACCCCAAATTGATTCAGTGGGGGATAGGCAGCCAGTAGAGCCCTTTTGAGGATGGAGGTGATGGGCTGAGGGAGCGCTAAGACAGGAGAGCTTGCTGATTGGGAAGTTCTGGAGCTTGTGGAGGCTAGAGCTTGGGTTGATGGTGAGCAGGGCATTCGAGAAGTCAAGTCTGTTTAAATCTGCTTGCAGTGTTTTTGCAGGAGTTAAAATATACTCAGTTGTCAGTACAGGAACAATGGAATAGACCATTCAGCCCCTCGAGCCTGCTTGGCTCCTGTCAGTGCCTTCTCACCTCAGGCACTGACAGCATCAATCTACATGGTGCCGGTAGACACTTCACCTCATAAGAACATAAGAAATCCTAGATGAAAAAAGACCAAGGTCCATCTAGTTCGCCTTCCACCTTCCTGGCCATCTCATGGAGCCAGTACAGAACCTCAGGGTCTTGTTCGATTTTCAACTGTCCTTGAAACCCCACATCCATGCCTTGACCCATTCAGCTTTCCCCCACCTCTGCGACATTGTCCACCTCCACTGCTACCTCTTTCCTCAGGCTGCCAAGACCCTTATCCCTACTTGTATCATAACCAGGCTTGACTACGCCAGCTCTGCTCACTGGACTTTCCTACTCTTCCCTTCACAAGCTTCAAACCATTTAGAACTCTGCAGCTCATGTCTTGTTTTGCACCAGACTCAGTGAACCTATCACCCACATTGTCACCCGGCTCCACTGGCTCCCCATTCCCTAGAAGATCGAGTTCAAAATCTTCATCCTTGCTTTTAAATCCCTCCATGGTTTTGCCCGATCCTACCTCTGTAATGTTCTAAAACCTTAACGAACCCCTCACTTCCTCCGCTCAGCGGGAGAGCTTTGGAAAATTACGACTAATGTATCTGCAATTTCCTCAACTATATTATTTAATACCCTGGGATGGAAACCATCAGGTCGTGGAGATTTGTCTATCTTAAGTCCTATTAAATCTAGTAAATTTGTCCCTTTGACTTATTTTTAGGTTCCCTTTATAGTCTACTTCTCCACTGAGAAAACGGATACGTAGTACTCATTTAACAAGTCTGCCGTCACTTATTGTCCATCACAGTCTTTAACAGTTGCCTTTGCCACTCTCTTTCTCTTAATTGTAAAAACATTTGCTGTTAGCTTTGATATCTCTAGCAAGTTCTCGTCATGTTCCCTTTTTTGCACCTCTTATTACTTTCTTTGTATCTCTTTATTCCTTTTTATAGCTCTACCAGTCTGCTGCATTACCATGTTCCCCACATTTGTGTAAGCCTTTTCTTTCAGCTTGATAATATCTCTTGTTTGTTGACTGTGGTTGCTTTAATACACGAGTGGAGTCTTTGCCTATTAGGGGTTTGTACCTGTTTTGTAAACAGTATCTGCGTCAGGTAAACATTAAATGAACTGAGTAAACTCTGCCCTTTCCGGTAGGTATTTGAAAAATGGAAACAAGAAAAAGATGAATATCTGAAGGAAAAATGCAAGAAACAAAGACAAATTGAAATAGAAAAGAAGAAACAAGAAGAAGAAAAAATATCCGAAAAGAAGACAGCAAGTCTAACAGCATTTCAAAAATGGTAGATAAATTGTTTCCTGCTAAAAAACTAAAGTACATGCTTGTGGGGTTTGTCTATAGCACTTTCCAGTATATCCTGTGAAGTGCTTTGGGATGTTCTCCCGATGTGAAAGGCACTGCACCAAATGTTAAGATGATGATTATTATGTATTATAAAATGTCGGAGTATACATTGTGAGCTGTAAGTGCAGCTTCTAAATCCATTTTTTTTAGCAATTAATGTCAGAGTATCTCCAAATTATTCTGCAATAATTATAACTGTTTACTAAAATACAATTCACATTTATATAGTTTCTTTCACATTGGGCAGATATCTCAAAATGCTTTACACAGATGGCAGGGCACCCAAGCTGGTGGAGAGAGGGAAGTAACAAAGTGAGGTTAAAAAGGTCAATTTTGAGGTGGGCTTCAAAAGTGGGAAGGGAAGGGCAAGTCAGAGGGACTCCATAGAGAACCTGATAACAGGGGCAGTTTGACTAAAAGCTCACGCACACCAACCACTGACTGTGAGACAGATAGGGCAGGGGACATGAAGCACGCTAGTGTTTGCTGAGCAAAGGGAGCGGCCATATCCATAGGATTACAGGAGGTCACAGAAGTAGGTTGGGGCGAGGCCGTGGAAGGATTGGAAAGTGAAGACAAAGATCTTGAATTTAATTGCAAGAAATATTCGCAACTTATTACCATTTGAATTGTTTACCTTAGCTGTCACAGCTTATTAAGTTATTGAAGTTATTTTGGCACAACTTTGATTTTGTGTCCGGGTTAAAAAAATCTCAGTGTGAGAGAGAAAATGGGAAACCTTTTTCGGGTTCACAGATTAGGAGGAACTAAAAGTAAGCAAACATTGGAAACAGAGAATCAACCTAAAACTAAATAGAATTAGTGGTATTGTTTTTGTATTTAGACTGCTTTAACTGTTTTGCTATGATTTATTACAATGGAAGGAGTGAAAAAAAAGAAGTGCTAATAAAGCGAAAGTTGAAGGAAAAGATACAGGAAGAACAGAGGAAGAAACATGAAGAAGAGTACATAAAATATGAGAAAGAAGAGACTGCATTGGCAGTGTATGAGGAATGGCTGGTAAGCTCTGCGCAGAACATTGGAAAGCATTTAAATATTTTCTAAAGCTTTTTTTTCTTAATAATTCATAAGGAACAGAGCAATAGATGCTGCCTTAGAATCGTTTTAGTGTGATGGTGTTAATTTGATGTTTGAGTTTTGGATCCTTTTTGAACTGCCAGTGTTATTTATAGTGACATTCTGGCTCAGTTGGTAGCACTCTCGCCTCTGAGTCAGAACGTTGTAGGTTCAAGCCCCACATTAGTATTTGAACTTACATAGTCTAGGCCAGTGGGGCCAAACATTTTGGTCAACCAACAAAATACATTTTCTTGGTTAAATATTTCTTGATTTGTGGCATAAATCAAGAAATATTCAATCAATAAAAACAAACCACTGGTCTGGGCTGACACTACAATGCAGTTGGCGGGGTGGGGGGGTTGGCGGTGGGGAGTTGCATTGTTGGAGTTGCTGTTGTTCGGGTGAGACGTTTCACAGAATCCCTGATTGCCTCTAAGGGTAAATGTCCTGTCGCTGACTGTCTTCGACTGGTTCAAATCCTACCTTTCACACTGTCTCTACTTTGTCTCCACGAACGGATTCTCCTTCAGCCAACACAACAACAACAACTTGGATTTATATAGCGCCCTCCACACCGGACGGCGTCTCAGAGCACTTCACAGTAACGGATCCCGGAGCCGAGCCAGGGGGAGGGGGAGGAAGGTGACCAAAGGCACGGTCGAAAAGAAAGGTCTTCAGCAGAGATCTGAAAATAGGGAGAGAGGGGGTGAGGCAAAGGGAGTGAGGAAGGGAGTTCCAGAGCCTCGGGACATAGTGGCTGAAGGTACGGCTGAGGGTGGAGCGGAGGACTCGGGAGACAAGGAGGAGGCCAGACCCAGAGGAACGAAGGCAACGGGCACTGTTTTGAAGAGAGAGGAGGTCAGAGAGGTAGGGGGTTGCAGAGGAATGGAAGGATTTGAAGACAAGGGTGTGGATCTTGAAGTCAATCCTTTCTGGGACAGGCAGCCAGTGCAGTCTGGCAAGGACTGGGGTGATCGGGGAGTGGAGTTTGGTGCGAGTGAGACTGCGGCGGCAGAGTTTGAATAATCTGGATTTTATGGATGGTATTGGAGGGAAGGCCGGCGAGGAGGGTGTTTGAATAGTCCAGCCGAGAGGTGACAAAGGCATGGACCAGAGTTTCAGCAGCTTTTGAAGTGAAGTATTGGCGGAGACGGTTAATGCGTCGGAGGTGGAAGAAGGCGGTGCTGGTGAGGGACCAGATGTGGGGGAGGAAGGATAATTGGGGGTCGAACTTGAAGCCTAGCATTTGTTACATCTGGGCTTGACAATTCCCTGCTTATCAGTCTTCCCAACGCTTCCCTCCACAACCTGCAGATCATCCAGAGCTCTGCAGCTCATTTCCTCTTCCGCACCAGCTCTATGACCCTATCACCTTCACCCTCGCACGGCTCCACTGGCTCCCCATCCCCAGAGGATAGGGTTCAAAATACTCGTCCTCACCTTGAAAGCCCTCCATGGCCTTGCTGCTTCCTACCTCTGTGACCTAATACTATATAGATCTGTTCGCTTCCTCCTTGATCCATGTCCCCCACCCAGCCCGCCCCACCGTCTGCAGTCGGGCTTTGGCCCCACTCGATCCAACAGTCCCTTCACCTTGCTCCCTCCCTTGCCTCCTCCAAGACATGTCTCAAGACCCATGTCTTCAATCGCGCCTTTGGTCACTCTCCTACCCCTACCTTCCCTGCCCTCCACCCCTCCTGATCCCAACGTCCTGCTCGGGTGAAATCCCTGACTGTCCAGCGCCCTGGGACGTTCTCCCGAATCAAATGTAATTTGTTGTTGTTGTTGACGTTAAATATCCCATCACATGACTCAAAGAGAAGGAAATTTCTCCTGGTTTCCTGGCCAACAATCCATCAAATAAAATTGGTAATTTGTTTCATGGTTGTTTGTGGGACATTGCTGTGCACAATTGGGCTGTCCCGTTCATCCACAAATACAGTCACTCCACAGTAAACCCTGTGAAGCTATTTGTGAAGTCCTTCTGACGTGAAAGTTCCTGTATCAAATGTAAAAATTATTATATTATCATCGTTAACAATCAATACACTTTGTCATCATTGTGGCCTTAAACTCTTTGAGACACCCTTCTGATGTGAAACGCGCTCTCGAACGTTACCCTGCATGAGGGGCATGATATAAATGCAAGTTGTTGTTGTTTTGTTATAAAGGTAAATTATATTGTTGTGCATTTGTAGTTCTCAGTTCAATGTACAATGAGAGATGGAAATGCTTCACATTAATGTTCATTCCCTGGTATTCTTTTGCTTATTTTTATAGGAAAAGAAAGAACAACAAGAAAAGCGGGAAAAGAGTGAGAAGAAAATCATGCACTTTTTAAATTGTGAGCCGCCTCCATGGAGCCCTCCAAATAAAACCATTCCATATAGAAAATAAACCGATATCATTTGTAGCCAACTTCACGCTCTGCCCTTTTTAGTTTATGAACACTAAGGGGTAAAATTTACAGTTTTAATATTATCACCAGATTAATTATTGCTGGTTTTAATTTTGAAATATTATTTGTAATGTTTAGTGTTAAACATTAAGTTTGAAGACTAAACCTTTCAGAGAATGACAGAAATTTTCAGGGTTTGGGTGGCCGAGGTCTTGAATAGTAAAATAATTTGAGGCTTTAGGGGGAGTGTATACTTCAGTCCTTCTGACCCTCACACCAGGTGAGCAAACATCAGAATTACAAAATATGCCTAACACTAATCCAGGAGCCAGAATTTACAATTAAAAATGCATATATAACTTGATTTAAGGTAATGGCTTCTCAATTTCTGAAAGCTTCATTGGAAGGATCCATACTGCAGGAGAGTCTTGTCACCTAGTGGTCATTTAGTGCTTGACACAAACTGTTCCAAGTACCACTTTAAAACCATTACCGACCATAACACCAGTTCATTTTGAAACGCCACAAACTTTACCCCAATAGACTTTTGTTCTGCATTTTCAACCAAACAAATTATGTAGAAAGTATCTGTGTATATAGTTCAATAAAATATGTTCCTATTAAGAGATGTAATATTTTATAGAATAAAATAAAAGTTTCCAAATATATGAATAAAGTTAACGTAACGTTTTTGCAAATTAAAATGGAACAGAAACCTGTGATTTATGAACTGCAGTTTCAAGTAAAATGACAAGTACAAACATAAAATGTTATCTTGGAACAAATGTCTCACAGGGTCAGCATGACGTAAGTGCAAAATCCTGCACAAGATGCACGTTACCACCTAAGGTGTTTTTTCCAGGGCTCATGCCATTTACACCAGTTCCCATTTGAACATTTTTTAATTTGCTCTCTACCCCATCGCTCTACTGGAGGGAGTGGGGGGGGATTCAGCCACGTCTTCCTGGGAATGAACTGGAGACACACCTGGCATAGTCAGGCAGATCAGAGGCAAACAAGGTTATCATCCTGGTTGACCAGCTTGTTTGGCTTGGAGGTGTGAAATGTTTTCAAGCACTCAAGTCAAAGCACTAATGGTTGAGGCTAGAGACGTAGCATGGAATGTAGCTGTGCTTACTGTATCAACAACAACAGCAAAATTACATTTATAGAGCGCCTTTCACGTCGGGAGGACGTCCCAAAGTGCTGAACAGTGAGGTGTCGGGGCCTGAACATGAGGGAGGGGTGGTGTAGGGAGAGGGAAGGCAAAGAGGTGGGAGGGAGACCAAAGGCACGATCAAAGAGAAGGGTCTTGAGACCGGCCTTGAAGGAGGCAAGGGAGGAAGCGAGACGAAGGGACCGTGGGATGGAGTTCCAGAGTGTGGGGCAGAGAGGCTGAAAGCCCGGCCACCGATGGTAGGGCGGGTCGGGCGGGAGACATGGAGCAGACCGGAGCCCGCTGAACGGAGGGAGCGGGCAGGTTGGTAGGGAGTCAGCAGGTCAAGAGAGGTACGAGGGGGCAAGGCCATGGGTGGCCTTAAAGGTGAGGATGAGGATCTTAAACTCGATCCTCTGGGGGATGAGGAGCCAGTGGAGTTGAGTGAGGGTGGGAGTGATGGGGTCACGAAGCCTTGGTGCGTGAGAGTACACGAGCTGCAGGGTTTTGGATGATCTGCAGCTTGGGAAGGGAAGAGTTGGGAAGGCCGATGAGGAGGGAGTTCCCGTAATCGACCTTGATGTGACAAATGCATGGGTGAGGGTTTTGGTAGCCTGAGGGGTGAGGCAGTGGCGGAGTCTGGCAATGTTGCGGAGGTGGTGGTAGACAGTGCCCGTCGTGGTGGAGAAAGGACAGTTCAGGGTCAAACAAGACACCCAGGTTCCTGACTGGCTTGCTATAAATTGCTATATTTTCTTATGTATTTACCACCACCTATTTAATCTCCAGATGAAATATTTAGTTAGCCATAAATCTCCATTATTCATCCATCACACAGTGTTTTTCACAAATGAAATCCCAACCTTAACTTCACTGCCACAGGAGCTATCATGCCCTATTAGTATCCAAAAATTGCCAGACAGCATCCTGATTTTCAATTAAGTCACCTGCTTGCAGATCGCAATCTTCATTGCCCAGACACCATCGTCCACAGCCTATTTTTGCATCAATCTGATAATGTGTTGGCCACTGCTGACTAGTCAAGTGTATGATTAGATTAATGTAAGAAATCCAGACTCGGAGACAAGTTTGCAGACTATAGCCATACGTCAACCACTGGTACCAGGCATCCATTCCTCCTTTCCCTCTGTGATATACAGGAAGGTGGTGCCAGGTAGTTCATGCATCATAATCTTTTGGAAATGCTGGAAGGAACTTAGAAGCAGCAGCAGTGATGGGGGAGATAGTCAGTGACAGAAACTAGCCAATATTATGAACTTCTGAAAATTATGAGCACTTTTATTAATTTATGGGGTCGGTCGAAAATAAATTAAAAATGAAATGCTCGTTTTTTCAAGCTTTTTTTGTGTAAATGATAATTTAAAAAAAAAATAGTTTTTCTTTTTTTTCCCTCCACCATTCAGGTTCTCCATTCCATTTCATATAGTTTGATTCCTATCCATATTGTAGCCCTTACAGTATCCAGATTTTTTAAAAGAAAGCTCAAACTTGTACATTGCTTTATCACCTCAAAAGGACTCAGAGTGTTTTGCAAGTAGTCACAGTTGAATTCAGTGATTTATTTCCTAGTCAAATATGGTAGCCATTTGCACCAGCAAGATTCCATGAACAGAAAAATGAATGACCCAGTTGATTTGGACTGCTGTTGGTCAAGATACTGAATACAAATTGTGCCGTGGTTGTTTAACATCCACCTGAGCAGGTTAGGTAGGAACTTGTTTTAATATCTCATCTGAAAAACAGCACTTGTAACAATGCTGTTTCCATTCAATTGTCAACCTGGATTGAAAGATCATGGGGTTTGAACCAACAACCTTCCGACCAAAGGCAAGAGTTACACCAAATAAGCCATCTGGGACAGCTCTGGTAAAATTGCACTCTTTCATTATCTTGGCACTGTTTCATTATCCAGTCCATTCGGTTTTAAAACGTATCTTTATTTGACCATTGCAAACTGGTAACAGAAAGATCTCTAATATTAATGATTGGCATAGTTAAACTTAATACCTACACATTTCCTTACACAATATTGTAGTTGCAACCTTCTGCTGAGTATACATTCAGAAAACTAGCAATAATATAATTTAATCCAAACACGTTCATCGGATATATTGGAATAAACAGCACATTTCGTAAAATTAATTAGAATTCTTCATGATACAGCACGTTGCTTCATTAAACCAAAACGTTAATCAGAAATTCAATCACAAAATCATTAGGTGTACCTCCTTGCTGTAAAGTAATTTTACCACTATAAAGGACTTGAGATACTAAAATATTCTGGTTAATTAGATTTACTCCTTAATAAGCAACTAAATTGATGATTTGGGTTTACCGACGTGATCATTTACTATGTCAAGACATGATATAAAATAGACTAACCACCTCTCAGAGCATCTTTAACACCAAACCTGTGTATTTTGTAGATGAACGTGGCAACCAATTTTCTTATAGCCATAAAGTGAATGATCAAATTTTATCAGGGAGATTGCTGGCCAAGACACCAGGAGAAACTCTATTTTCTTTTTGAATAGTGGCACGGGATCTTTAACAACCATCTGAACAGGTAGACTGGACCTCGATTTAACACCTCATCCAAACATCAACACCTTTGATGAAGTGATAGAGCAGCGCACCCCTAACACTGTATTGGAGGGTCAGCCGAAAGTGAGTTCAAAGTGCCGGCTTGAACCCACAACCTTCTGACTCACACTCGACAGTCCTCCCACTGACCTCGGCTGATGTAAGATACACAATACAATTTACGCTTATAGAGCGCCTGTCACAAAATATCTCAGTGCTTGATGACATGAGATATTGGAGCTATTTGACTGGGAGCAGAGAGTGGAGGGAGTCATACCTGTTGATATTTTCAGGGAGGAGGAGGTAGGTAGAGAGAGATCAGAAGCAGGAATCTGCATTTTTTTTAAACTAGCCTCTATTACTTCAACTGAAATCAATACAGGCCAGGGATCAAGCTGCCTGCCTTCTGTTCTGTATTCTGTCAGTGTCTCTATCCACCAGATCATCCATTGCCTACAATTTTAATGCCAATTTCTACCTGTTAAAAGCCTGTGTTCCTGAGCAAATTCTGGGACAGTTCATTTTTACTTTGTCTTCTTGATTCTTTTGTATTGTAATCTCCTGTGTCACAGGTTTACTGATTCAGGCACTGATGCTTATTGCTTTTTTTCTGTTTGGAAAATGTTTGTTTATTATTACTTACTGCCTGCTCCCAGCATTTTGAGCTCGTAGGCAAGTGTTAAAACATTTAGAATTACTGGTGTTCACCACCATGATTTGAGTAATAACCCAGATTATAAAACAATTAAATTTGCTTTTCAAAAAAACTCCAGATTTTATCAAAAGTTCCTGTAACCTTTATATCACTATTGCTGCCATGTATACAACAACAACAACAACAACAAGATTACATTTGTATAGCGCCTTTCACCTCGGGAGGATGTCCCAAGGCGCTGGACAGTGTACATCATTTCAGACCCGAGCTGGGGTCAGGAGGGGGAGAAGGGATGGGAGGGGTAGGGGCGTGGCTGGTCGCATGATCGAAGAGGAGGGTTTTGAGGCGGGACTTGAAGGAGGCTAAGGAGGGGGAGAGGTGGAGTGATTGGGGGATGGAATTCCAGTGGCTGAAGGCTCTCTCGCTAATTGTAGGGTGGATGGGTCGGGGGACATGGAGTAGGCCAGAGCCGGCTGAACAGAGGGAGTGGGTGGGTTGGTAGGGGGTTAGGAGGTCGCAGAGATAGGGTGGAGCGAGGCCATGGATGGCTTTGTAGGTGAGGACCAGGATCTTGAACTGGATCCTCTGAAGGATAGGGAGCCAAT